CGATCTCAGGAGCGAAACCCTAAAGGCAAGGAAGTGAATGACCTATGTATTAGATTCCACAGGTGCATTGTCGTAGCAGATTCCCAATACAACTTTCTTTATACTAAGCCTGACATATCTGCCCCACCAGGGCCAGCCCTAGCAATTCTGAGGCCCTAATGCAAGTGTGCAACCGAACAAATCCATTTGATAACAAAGAGAGAGATTAAGGTGGTGATACACCTAGAAAAATCATTAAATTAGCATCGTTGGACCCCTGCCTTCTTTGAGACTTGTGGTAATCCATATGGAGATGAAAGTAGGGGGAAGAAAGAAGAAAGAACGAAGCGTCCGTGCGTTTTTTTAAGAAAAAGTATCAATGGCAGAACATAAGAATATAAGATATGGGCCCCTCCCCTGGCTGGGCCCTAGGCAGTCGCACTCTTTGCCTAGGCCTAGGGCCGGCCCTGTGCCCCACCTGTCAGTGGTTAATATCTCTCTCTCTCTCTCTCTCTCTCTCAATTGCTTGCTCGAGGAGTTGTGATTATGATAATAGTTGTTGGCAACCCTAATGGAGTTCCTCTCCTGGGTGGTGTGTGGATCTTTATGTGTAGCCAAGTCGGCTGAGGTGTCTGTCATGTGGACATGATGTACTAGTATTCACTGATTGATCTTATAAAAAGAACTTACTAATTAACCGATAGATCTCTAAGAGAACCGGTTTCATAAAATCATACGGGGGTGATGTCCAAAATGGTCAGAGGCATTTATCTGATTTTAGAGTTTACATGATAACTAATTGTCGATAAGCCAAAAATATTTATTTTATTTCTTTAAAAACACCTAAATTCAAAGTATGTAATTTTTGCCACATGTATCTACAATATTTTATCTATATCCTGTAGGGGGGATATTTGGTGCACCCGTTTGAAATTAGTCTTTCTATGAATGTTGAAAAAGTCTAAACATAAATTATGTTCTAGCAGTGACAAGTATTTATCATAAAACAAAAATTTGTATATCTGAATTCAAAACATAGTATAAGAGCTAAAAATGTCAACATTCATTGGTGATGCGTAAAGAAAATGGGTTGAATTGAAGGCCCGGTTCGCATTAGCTACTATTCACACCGTGACGTGTCATTTTTGTTTCTAGATGCGCACTTTGAATTTTGATATGAAACATTACACCATCTTAGATATGAAACACACTTACATCCTCTCAAAATTTCATAATATTTCAAACCCGTCAAGATAAAATTTTGTACATGAAACGGGGGCGAATTCAGTGACACCCTGATTCTGCAATGCATTGCAGAACAACCACTCCACGCAAAAAATCCTGGTCCACTTGCAAACCATCCAGCACCATATGCACACATGCTTATTGTACAATCGAGCAGCCTCATCACTATTTACAACCTACATCATGCACAACATTCGATCAGCTCGAACTCCAACCGATCAAATCACAAGGATCAAAAGTGAGATTAGCAGCGGTGATGATCACTGGATCGATCGGAGGTGGAGTTCATATAAAAAGTTCAGATGAACTTCCAGCAGATTGATCACGAACCATTTTCATCAGTTCAGAGGTTGAAGAATTAATCACCTCTGTATGTGCATGCTCATGAGCAACCCCGGCCAGCGAAGCTTTCAGCTAGCAATGGCATCCTCTCCGAGTGTCTTCCGGAGCTCTCTGAGGCTGCGAGCGATGTCGTGGATCACGGCCTCGCCGTCCCTCCCGTTCCTCAGCGAGTTCACGCTGTGCTCCAGGAAGCTCCGGTCCGCTTCCAGCGCCTGCAGCCGCCGGCTGAGCTCCCCGATCTCCTCCTCCAGTGCTGCCGTGTCGTCACCCTCGCCGCCACCGTCGTGTCCGTGGTGGCCGTGGCCGTGAGTCGAGCCCTTGCTCGTCGTCTCGATGGACTGAAGATGCTGCCATTTCGTGAAGTTGTCGCCGTTCCTCACGCGCCTCCCCACCACCGAAGGTTCCGTCGTGTCCTCCTCCTTGCCGCCGTCGCCGTCTTCTTCTTCTTCTTCGACGTCCGTGGGCTCCGGTTCTTGGACAATCCCGCTGCTGTTGTTCGAGAGCCGGTGGAGCCTGTCCGTCAGCCCCCTCAGCTGCTTCCAGGCGCGCGCGTTCTCGTCGTCCTCGGAGTCGCCGGAGAATTCCTCTCCGGCCGGTCCGGAGACGGGTACGCCGCCGGTCTCGCCGTCTGTCTGGCACGGAAGGAGCCGCATATGGTCGCGGATCTCGCCGACGATCTCGTGGTCCCTGAGCCTGGCCTTGTATCCCTCGACCTCGGCCTCGAGCTCCCGCACGACGCCGGCCAGCCGCTCAGCTTCATCCCGATCGTACGCGCTCTGCTCCTCCATGACCCTGCGGTACTGCGCCGCCTCGGTCCGCATCGCCGCCTTCTCCTCCTGCAGCCTGGTGATCATGGCCATGGCCTGGCTGGTCGCCACGGCCGACGCGCTGCGCTCCTCCTCCAGCTCCTTCCACAGGAGCGCCATGGACCTGCGGTCCAGCTCCACCCGCCGCCTCAGCTCATCAACCGTGCCGCACTCCTCAGCTTCAGTGTCGACCACGCTGCCGTCGGAGACGCCCGAGTAGTTCCGCTGCAGGGAGAGCGCCCTGGTGATGTTGCGCAGCACGGCCTGCTCGTGCTGCTGCTCCTGCACGCTCGGGCTGTCGGGCGTCCGGAAAGAAGACGAAGAAGCGGAGAGCTGCGAGAGCAGCAGCTTCAGGTGCTGGTGGACTCTCAAGGAATCCTGCCGTGTGGTGGCTCTGTCGGCAAATTCAGGCTCCGGCTCATCTGCTGCAGCTTTGGTTTCAAATGGCTCGCCATCATCAGCGTTGTGCCACTCATCTTCTTCTTCTGGTTTATGATCTACAGGAGAAAATGGCAGCATTGTCAGAAATTCAGATTGGCAGGACAAAATTTAATTGATGGTATGCTTGTCAAGGGTAATGCTGCACACACCTTGTGTATCTGTACGAGGTTCTTCATCTTTTGTTGGAAGATCACTTGTCTGAATGTTGTGTGAATCTTTAGAGTGTAATCTGCCACTCTGAACTTGCGTTAACCCGGATTGGAGAAAGCCATCTGCAACCTTGGTATGAGGTTCTTCATCATTTGTGGCAAGATCAGTTGACTGAATGTCGGCCTCGATGCTGCCCGGCTCCCTTGAATCTTCAGAGTGTGTAATATCCGGGCCACCATTCTGAATCTTGAGAGGAAGGCTATCTGCAACCTTTGTCTGCGCCTGGCCCAGAGTAAGCTCCTCCTTCAGCCTACGGATGGCGGCGGCGTCCTCCGGCGACCTTCTTCTAAGCTCCGACTCGGAGTCGGAGGCCCTCAGCTCACTGTACCCGACACGATCGATCTCGTCGTCAACGACGCGCCGATCTCCCAAAACGTCCCCAATGCCCATGCCACCGTCATGGCAGAACGCCCAGGACGACGACGCCTCCGCCCTGTGGGAGCTGCAGAGGAGGTCGCGGTAGGAGGAGCCCGGGCGCGCCCCGCCGAGGACGGCGTCGAGCCGCGCGCACGCCGGGCAGGGCGGCGGGAGCTTGCAGAGGCGCGCGAACGCCGTGGCCAGGCGGGACAGCAGGCCCTCCAGCAGCATGAGCAGGATCAGCACCCATTCCAGGACCGCCGAGGATAGCAGGGCGGAGAACTGCTGCCGGTGAGATCCCCAGGCCGTACTACTAGCAGTAGCCATTGATCGATCTTCGCTCGGGGTGGAAGGACCGAGCTGTCACTGCAGATCATGGTGATTGATTGAATATCAGATTCTCAATACAAAATTTGAACAAATTTCTAAACGGAGAAGGGCAAGATGGATCAGGAGATGTGCAAATTGAGCCAATTATTGAAGAAGGCGAGAAGAGATGCATACATACATACATACCTTCATCTCATCAGTGGAAGTGATCGTCGATGAAATCTTTGGTGGACTTGAGCAAATTTCCTTCTTCACGGAGAAGGAAGCTCAGATCTCCTCCAGACCCACGTTCCTGGCCCCTGGATGGAGCTGGAGCACTACTCGCCAACTACCAAGAAACCGTCCAATAAACAAAGAAAGAATTGAAGGCTGAGAGAGATTTCTACGTGTATCAATAATTCCAGTCAATGGGACAGCGAGAGGGATGAACTCTACCCCCGGAACCTGTCATGGCAGGTTGGAAATGTACACGAGATTAGACGAAATAAACAACAAGAAGAAGAGGCGACAGGTGAGTGCTGATGATGATCTTTTCTCTTCGAAATAAACATAATAGGGTGGTGGCTTTCTCAATTAGTTGTCAGTTTAAATATGTCGTTGTGTCCCATCTAAACCTTTTCCTTTCTGTTTTTCTTTTCATTTCTGATGACACCGGACCAGGAAATGGAGCTTGGAAAAGTCGGTTTATCTGCTAATAATTGAGATCCTTCACGTTGGAGTAATAATGCTCCGTTCTTTTCCTAATGAATGAGAAATAAATGTGAATGCTCCTTCTCTCCATTTTAATATGGCGTTCAAATTTACTACTCCCTCCGTCCCATAATATAAGAGCATTATTTTTTACAATCTCCGTCCCATAATATAAGAGCATTATTTTTGACACTATTGTCAAACATGCTCTTATATTAGGACGGAGGGAGTATTATTTCCCAGGGGTGGCCATGTCATGGGGATGCTTATGCTTTCATATTTCTAGATGTAAAGCTGGCACATCCATTATCATGGTGGCCACGTCTGGAACCCAAAGGTATTCCGCACAAATTTGCAAAACTCAAGCCATGACAATAATAATACAAACATGATCACAACACCAGACAAGGTGGGGGTCATGGAACATGGGACAAATCTGCAAACCACCCAGACCCAGGCAAGCAAACATCCAGAGGGGCAATGCAATAAGTTCAGCTCTCAAATCAGTTCGTCGAGGGCATCAAACGACCGAGTGACTGACAGACATCCACCTTACATGAATTAACTTGACCGCGAAATGCAAGAGACAACGTTGAGTTAGGGTTTGTACAGCGACATTCAAGCTTGGCTGGCTGCTCCATGCTCCTCCTTCTCAGAGGGCCTTCATTCAGCTCACGGGTTTCACGGCTCTGGCTTTGGCGCCTACACCGTTCTTCGGGGAGCACTGCGCTTTGTTGGCGTCTTTAGGGTTCCCCATGCTGTGACGATGCGCCCTGTGAGATGCGGCGCTGGAGTTCACCGCCTCCGGGGTCGCCGGTGTGCCGTCGCCGGTGCTCTTTCTCCTTGTAAACTTTGGTGACTTGGCACGGGTTGGAGGCACCTTCACAGAACAGAACCGCAAATGTAAATCCGTGACTGAGCATAGTTTAAAGTCAGTTCATCGGGTGTGTTATATTTCTTGCCAGTAGTCAGTAAACTAAAAAATCATGGGAAGTTAGTTAAATGCTCTGCTTGTCATAAAACTATGCATCAACATCTACTCACTATAACACAAATGGAAAGCCTTATACAGGTAACTTTATGAAGCAAATTACACCTATGATATCATTCAATGGGTTGCTTCTGTATTAGGGGCAACATGTGTTGTTCAGTCAAAAAACAGCACATTAACTAATTATTAAGGCGCTGGCTCATTTCAGTGATATATACAGAATTCTCCTAGGAAGCACCACATCCATTAAATGTAAATAGTGATTTATGAAACATGTATAAGCAACTGCATGTATAATTTTTATGCGGAAATACAAGATATCAGAATTACCTTCTTAAGCTCAGCCTTTGGAGGGGGCCCTTCTTGGTAGAAGTTTGGCATGGGTTTTGCTCTGATGACCAAGGACTTCCTTAGTTGTTTTAAAGCCGCTTCTTGCTCATCCTACAGGAAAAATGAACATCGGAAATGTTAGTAACAATATTAACAACAAAAGATTCAAGGATATGTTGGTCAAAAAATTGGCAGTAGCAAGCTGTTAGAAATCTAGGGCTCGAATTCAGAAGAGTCTAACCTAGGCTTGAACACTATGTTATTCAATAAGCTTGATAGACATACTGCTATGGCCAAGTGGGAATGTACAAATAAACCTCCAATGTATAGGAGATGCAAATCCTCACACAACTACATTTTCATCATAGGGATTATAGTTCTATATCAATTCCAATTCTATTTCTGACATAAACATATGCAATCAAGCATCTAATCGCCTAGTAATGCTGGAAAATCCGTTTGTTTAAGTGTGGTACAGAACAAAGGATACCCGTGTTAAATCAAGACAGTTTTCCTTTACCAGGGTGAAACAGAGCACAAATAACTCAAATGTTCCATCATACGAAACAAAAGTACGTTCTTACCTTTTTCCTTGTTTCAGCCTCATTCTTCTCAGCTTCCAAAGCTTTGTGCTTCTCTTCTAATTTCGTGTAGAACTGAAGAATTAGTAATACTGTGAGTATCAGATTTTAAAAAAAATCGCTACTGGCTGTTAATGGTTATGATCATCTTGTCTTGGCACAATGCAATCAGATTGCATACACACCTCTTTCCTCTTGTCAGCACGGTCGTCACATACAAATGTAGGAGCAAAGGCAACAGTTGTCTTAGTTCTGCCAGCTCGTGCTGAAGCTGTGGTTCTTTGTGCAACTCAGGAAAATACATAATCAATTGTTTCAAACTGCTACGAGGAGAGAAACATCATGTTGGCAATGTTTTCAGTTCACAAAACAATGTCAACTGAGAAGATACAGCTTGTGGGTTCATATCACAAATTGTAAGATCTTCCAGAAAACGTAAGAAACAAATTGCCAGAACAATGTAATTTTCCAGTCATCTTTCAGCCTTGAGCCTTGGTATGCAAAAATTGGAAGAACATCTTCCAAAAAATAAAATTACAGGCACATAATGATAGAACAGTGTAGAGTGTAGACCGTAAATTAGAAAAGGATACGAAGAAGTCACTGAACAGGAGTCGTCGTCTTGAGGTTGAAATGTAAGGCCAGGTTGCGGCATCTTCTTGGGTGTCACCAGAGTACTCTGCGGTAATACCCAGATTAGTTCTGTCAATAGAACAAACTCTCTACAAAAAGCTTACAGGATGACATTTTCAGCCAAATAGAAACATCAGTCAGGAACAAAGAAAAGACACATGTCATCGATTAATATGTGTGCATATGTTCAGGTTCATAAAAGAAATTTAAGATGTTCCACGACAAAAGAAAGACAAATAAACTTCAACAAACAAAGGAGCTCTTCAATCAGAAGACATTACACTCTTCCAAGCATCACCAACTCATATGATCTGGGGTATGTTTGGATTGTGACCAAAGTGTACAATACAATTTTTTTTGTTATGTCCAAAATATTGGTCTTTGTTTGGATGAGGGCCAACTTTTTGGCAACTCCAGTCCATTTTTCTAGCCAATGATGGCCAATGCATGTGCAAGCAAAACCTCAACCGATAAGTTGGCTAGCCAATCTTGCTTCTGTATGATCTAGTTGGCTAACGTTCCATAGCAATGAAGCATGCATGAACATTAGGGCCAAAAATCAAATTAAAAACAGTGGTCTAATAAAATCAAGACTAGAGGCACATAATATTAGCTGCATCATGAGACAGTGCAATAGAGCATAGAGAAATCGCCAACATACCTTCTTTATCATGCTTGCTGGAGAGGCACTACTTCCTTGCCCAGATTTTTCTCCATTGCTGGATGGATGAGCCACACCACCATTTCCTCCACCAGAGACCCTTCTTTGAGTTGAAAGTGCGAATGGTTGAGGAACAGTACGCTTAGACTTCTCTGATCCAGACATACTAGGCTTTGTTGGTGACTTAGGAAGAGCAGACATTTCTTGATCAATCAACTTCAGTGAATCTTGGTTTATAAGCTTGTCTTCCCCTGTTTCTCCGTCTATGGCCGGTTCTACAGAAGTTACTTGGCCCTCTGGAGAACTATCATGATCACTGCCACTAACAACTTCCTCGCAATCACGAGTGTTGCCATCTGGTGGGCATATAACAACACCATCTGATTCTTCGTCCGTGGAGATTTCCGCAGCCTCTTTCACCATTGGACTGCAGAAAATAAAGAATATAAGTACAGCTCTGCAGCTGGAGCTCTCTAGGAATTGTAATGAGAGGGAATAAATGGATAAACATTGGGGGCTTCAACTACCTTCTATAAATAAAAAAGTGCAACCTCATAAACTATTCGGTGCAAATATCGTGCAAGCAACTCAGCACATACAGAAATACTCTAATACTCTCCAATAATGAACTAAGAGTCAGGTGCATTTAGTGTATTCAAGCAAATGATAGGCTTCTAACCTGAGCATTATGATAGCCAATCCCCCATAAAGACTCATAATGCCGACATATATATGTGACAACTGACAATGAAGTATAAACAAAAGAGCACTTCTGTAAATTTGGACACATCTTAGGTATGTAACTACATAAAGATACCCAACGCCACTTCTCATAACTCTTCAAACTGAACATCTGAATTGAATTGCTCTAGAAAAAAATGCATGCCAGTTCATGTCTTAATGTTCTCAACAAAAGGAAAAGATCTGTGATAATAAAGATATGTGGCCAAGCATCTAATAAGAAACAAGATACATATCCATTTTTCCTTGACAACGCACGGAAGTTGTAGCTGATGCCCAAGAACTGTTGACAAAGATCGCCAGATCTCAACTGCATATCGACCGGCCGCACAATATGTAAAAAAGGATCCTAAAAAGTCAACTTGCACGATCCTAACAGCCAAGGCCACCTAAGACACTATCTCAAAATCTTCACATGGAAAGGCTGGTGAATAAAAAAAAAGTTGCAATTAAAAATTCCTGTAAGATGTGCCAGGATATACAACTAAAATCTGCCGGTGGAAGTTGAGGAGCGCACATCCACCAGAAAATTCTCATGCACGCTAGAATGATTCAAGCTTGCTAGAGCAAGATGGAATATCCATCGCGTCCAGACTTATGCCTCTGGAAGGGAAAAAAAATGGAAAAAAGAAGTTCTCAAAGCTAAAAAAAGATGAGCTGGGCTCCTAACCAAAAACCTAAAAAGGAAACTGCGCTTGGCTCCTAAAAGCATTCCTTCTCCTGAAACCTGAGTTCAGTGTAAGGCGTTCGAGGGCTATGTTGAATCTGTCTCCCCCAATACGAAACCCTAGGTCGCCCAATCTAGAGTTCCCAGACCAAGAAAAAGAATCCCTTGAAAATCACGAAAAGCACGCATGAATCGTGCACAGCTAAAACAGATCTAGCGGCACGCCAGATGACGAGCTCCAGCTCCGACATTGCTCGGCAACGGCGCCCACATAATCCCCTCCTGAAAAACAAAAACGCAGCAAACAGAATGCAAGACGGTACTGGTATTACTGTAAGACAGCCATTACATGGTCTCCGCCCCTTTGCTGGTGAGATCCCACCGCCGCCGGGCCGCGGCCGACGCGTCCCCGGCCCCCTCGCCGCTCGCCGCCATGGGCACAGGGGTGGCTGGAACGAGCTCGGCCCGCTCCGCTCCGCTGCTGCTGCTGGTGGTGGACTCCGGCCCGACCGGCGTCGTGGTCTCCCCTGCCTCCGCCACCGTGGGTCGCCTTCCCCCTCTTGAGCGGAGCGGTTCCACCAACCTCGCTAGCTCGCTCGCCGCGGTGCCGAGAGGGGGGGAGCGGGGGAGTGTGGGATCGAGTGTGTGCGCCCGGCTGTGTGGCTCCCCCCGTGCTCGAGGGGTTGGGTGGGTGGGTGGGTGGGTGCTTCGAGCTCGGTGCGCGCTGCGCGGGGCGGTGCTGTGGGCTGTGCCGCTGTGGGGCGCAGCTCACGTGTAAGTGGAGGTGACTTGGCTTGGACTTTGGACCTTTCCGTAGATAGCCGTGCCGTGCTGGCCGCCTGGCTGGCGATGGTGTCGCACGGATCATTCATCCGGTTCACGCCAACTGGACGGTACAGCTGTGCAGATACATGAACATTGAGATGTGTGTGAAGAGGAGGGGGGGAGGGGGCTCGGCCCGAGTGATCGTTAATCCGACGGTTGGTACCATGACCTATACCTCGGGGGTTAACCTGCAGCTACACGGGTAACGTTGACGCCTCTTTAGCTTAGGTCGACGACTGCCCCGCCATGACGCAGTGGTGATCGATGGCCAAATAAATTTGGTGGTTGGGGAGTGGGAAGATGCAGAGTGAAAGGTGACATGACAATAGCGGTGAAGATGGTCGGATGCATAAGAGCCGAAGATATGTAAGGCGAGGAAGAAGGTGAAAAGGCAGGGTTTCAACAAGTATCTAAGCAACCGTTCATTGCTTTTAGAAATTATTTTCATTGAGTTCCTTGAGACTTTTCGGCCAATATGAAACCCTTGTATCTTAATTTTGGAGCTGAGAAACAAGCGTAAAGTTAGTGGTTGCCACATATTTGATCCTTACGGGCGGCATTTAACCATATCGGTTAATTTCGCGAGATCAAACGTGTGTCTCACACCGTGCTTCCTATCAAATTAAAAAGAAGCAGGGCCTCCTTCCTTCCTCTGTTGGTCTAGTTAGTGCTCAGAGCCCATAGGACAACAGGTCGCACTCTCAACATAGTACGAGATGTATGTGTGTATATGTAAACATCTATGGTTGTATTGCGTTTTTTCTATAAAGAGAGCTTTCTCTTCGATTTTCATATAAAAGAAACCACAATGTCCTGGAAGACTACAAAGTAGGAACTACTAATCATGACTAAAGCTACTATGAGAGAAGGAGTCATCCCTCCCCCCTCCCAACAGCTCATGCAAACATGCTTTGCTCTGGCACAGGCGCCAGGGGATGCTAACCTTTTGGAAGACAAACGAGACTGAAACATACATCCAAGTATCCAAAAACACACAAGGAACGATGCAGTGCCAGGTCTTATTACAAATACCAAACAAAAAGCATAGAACAGGAAAGAGCAAGCTATCTTAGAGAGAAGCAACTGCATCTTCATCTTTAGCTTCATCAGGGAGGAAATCAAGGAGCAGCAAGTCTTGGCACTCCTGTTCTCCAACCATGCGCTACTATGAAGATCTCCCTCGCAACCTACTCAACATCCTTACGCCCACCATCATTCACCTTATTTTTTCTTGGTTTTTCTGCAACACATTTCAATCATGTAACCACTTAATAATCAAATTAACTGGAACGCAAGGATCAGTGACCCTGCTATTATCAAAAGAGCTTTGTTTCTAAGTTTCCACAAAGTCCAAAAAATAGCAGAGATTCCTACTGCCATGAGATCCCTATCATTTTATCAAAAAAGTTGATCCAGACCCCAAATAGATTTTGTATATTGTCAGGAATGTCATGCATATCAAATGAGCATTTCATAACCATCCACAACATCCGGGCAACAGAACAGTGGAAAAAAAGATGATTAATATCTTCTTCCCTAACATAAAAGGAGCACTTACTATCACCACGCCATCCCCTTTTGATTAGGTTGTCCTTAGTGAGGATGCATCCTCTTAGTGCAAGCCACAAGAACACCTTTACCGGAGGAGGCATTTTGACTTTCCACATAAATTTATGTGGGTACTTGACCCCATTTTGTATCATGTATCTATAGCATGATTTAACAGTGTATTTCCCATTGCCCATCAAAGTCCAACTAACTATATCTTTTTGGTCATTTAAAGTCACACTTTCACAAGCCTCTCTGATATGAGTCTAGAGCTCCAAAGACTCCCCAAACATAGAGCTACTAAACTTAATATTACTCAAACCCCCTTTCAAAACTACAACAACTGATTTGTTTTTGTCAAAGCAAATATTATACAACTTGGGATAAGTATATTTTAGAGATTTAGGTCCTATCCATCAGTCTTCCCATAATCTGGTATTCTCACCATTTACCACATTAAATATACACACGAAGAAGAAAATATATTTGTGTTTCAGGAGCTCACTCAAAAATTGTGAGTCTCCCACCCCATGTTTGACATTGGTGATGCAGATATTCTTAATGTATTTCCCTTTCAGCACCTCCTGACATAACCCTTTTGTGTTATAAATTTTCCACCACCACTTGCATAATAAAGCTTTATTCATCAAAGCTAAATTATGTATTCCCAGCCCACCCATATCCTTTGGTTTACAAACTTCAGACCATTTAGCTTAATGCTATTTTTTCTTATTAATACTCTCTTGCCATAACAATCTAGCCCTAAAGAAATCCATTCTCCTATTCACCCCCAACAGGCAACCCATAAAAGGACATCATGAAGTAAGGTATATCGGCCAAAGAAGATTGGATCAAGGTAATTCTACCAGCACTAGCCAGCAATCTACCTTGCCAAGTACCACAATTTTCTCCATTTTCTCTTCTAGAGGTTTCCAATGTTTATTTCTGATTCTTTTTATCAATACGAAGACCCATATATTTTAGAGGGAGATCACCTACTGGACAAGTATTTTTTTAGAATATTTCTTGTTTTTATTAGCAGCTTCACCAAACAAAAACAATTCACTTTCATGAAAATTGATTTTTAGACCAGACATTTGTTCAAAAAGGCACAGTATGTATTTCAAATTATGAGCACTATCAAAATCATCTTGCATAAGGAAGATGGTGTCGTCTACATATTATAACATATTGACACCACCCTCCAAACTCTCAGACAGCAAACCTTGTATCAAGCCAGCTTTTCTAGCATTATTCATTAAAATTGCCAAAGCATCAGCTGCCAAATTGAACATCAGGGAAAACAGAGAATCCCCATGCCTCAGCCGTTTGTGAGTGTTGAAAATAAGAACCATGGTTTTCATTAACTTTGATACAAACATTACCCCCCCCCCCTAATGGTCCCTGTGATCTAACCAATCCATTTATCAGGGAAGCCTTTCAGTTTCAACATCTGAAGCGCAAAAGGCCACTTTATTTTATCATATGCTTTTTCAAAATCAACTTTCAATAGTAAAGTGTCTTGTTTCTTTGTGTGTGCACTATTCAAAGCTTCATGCAAAACTAAGACCCCCTCCATTATGTCTGCCTTTAATAAAGGCAGTTTGGCTTGGAGAGACTACCTCACCAGCAACCATATTCAACCTATTCATCAGTACTTTAGTAAATATTTTGAAACTCAAATTTAATAGACAATTTTTTCTATATTTTTTAATTTGATTAGCATCCATTTTTGGGCAATAAAGTGATAATCCTATAGTTGAGCCTTTTAATATTCAAATTCCCTTCAACAAAGTCATCAAACATTCTCTTTAAATCATTTTTTTATCAATTCCCAAAAGTGTTGATAAAATTCAGCAGTGAAACCATCAGGACCAGGTGATTTTTATGGGCCATCTGGAACACGGCTTTTTTAATTTCATCAATGAGAACTCACTTATCAATGCTTCTTTAGCAAGTAGAGGCACAATTGCAGGATCATCAATATTTAAAGAAATATGTGACATCTCATGGTGCCCAAATAAGTTCTTATAAAAACTGGTAATATAATCTAGTAGTTGCTTATCCCCTTCTATCCTCCCCTCATCCTGATCTAAGCTAGTAATTTTATTCCTCCTATGTCTCCATTAGCTTTAGCATGTAAGTATTTAGTATTGCAGTCACCAATTAAAAACTGATCAATCTTAGCCCTCTGTTTCAATTTAGCCTCTTCCTGACTCAAGAGTCTATCAAGTTGAGCCCTGAGCTCCATCTGCTCCACCATGTCAGCAGCAGTCAGACCATATATCTCACATTGTTTATCTATTTTATCAAATTTACTCATAATCTTCTTTTTAAGCTCTCTATACCAAGCATTCATGTTTCTATTCCACTCTTTTAACTTTGGCCTAAGACATCTTAACTTTGCTTGCCAATTGTTCAAGCTAGAAACATTAGAGCCTGTACTATTCCATACTTTTGTAACCAACTCATTAAGCCCTTCTCTGAGGAACCAAGTATGTCCCTCAGTTAAGAACCAAGGTTATCAATCCAGTAGGAGAACCACGCAACACCTTGTTAGCAGTACCTACACATAAAATAACAAGTACTTGCACCCAACACGAACAAGGGTTTGTTAATCCCTTGCTGGTTAATTGCAAGGATCAAATCTCGTAGTGATAGATAGATAGCACAAAAATACAAAATAAAATAAAGAAAAGAAAATCCCAGCAAAGTATTTTTGGTTTTTAATATATGATAAAAGTAGGCCCCGAGGGCATAATTTTCACTAGAGGTCTCTCTCTTGAAAATAGCATATGGTGGGTAAACAAATTATTGTTGGGCAATTGATAGAAAAAAGAATAATCATGACGATATCCAAGGCAATGGTCATGTATATAGGCATCACGCCCGAGACAAGTAGACCGATTCATGTCTGCATCTACTACTATTACTCCACACATCGACCGCTATCCAACATGTATCTAGAGTATTAAGTTCATAAAGAACGGAGTAATGCCTTAAGCAAGATGACATGATCTAGACAAAGTAAACTCACGCATGAATAGACCCCATATTTTTAT